TTGATGTGCGACGATTTCTTTTCTCTTCTTTCTCTTTTCTCCGCCCTCCCGTTGTACGCGGACGGACGGGTGTTGCCGTCCCGCTCTCGCGGGCGCGCGCGGATCTTAAGGCGAAGGCGCGCCGACGACGGGGAGTGCGGTCGCCGGGCGCGAGAAGCGCGGGATGCGGACGGATCGAGTCGTCGGCAAAAACCGAAGGGAAAAGGGATAACGCGCCGGAAGGGAGCAGGATCTCGGTAGCTCCGCGCGTACCGTGCCGCGGGCCGAAAACTCCACGCGAAAACGAAGATTGGGCGCCAGACGCGGTCTTTCACGCGTCACGTCGCGAAACTCGCGAAATCGCACGAACGAGAAGGAGCGGCCCTCGTCACGGGCAGGCTAGCTCGCCTAACGGTAGAGGGGCGGGGCGGTGGTTGACACTAAACGATTCCAGAGGCTGCGGGACTTAAGAAATTCGCACGACGGACGAGACACACGAAGAGAGACGTACACGAAAAGAAACTCAGAAAAATAATATAAATAAAATCGGGTTTCATATAAGGTGACGTTACAACGCCGGTTAAGTGGCCGCTATAACGGGTGGCGGCGCGCGCGAAATTATTACCAGCCCCGTGATCGGGGGACCAAGTCGCCGCGATACTCTCTGCGACCCGGAGCACTCCGGCGCGGACTCAACGGTAAGACTTCTCGGACGCGCTAAACCCTAACCGAAAGACGCGGACGCATCTAACATTTATTTCCCGGCGAACGGTATAAACACCGTCGCACGTACGACACTCGGCCGGGGCGTTTCGCCCGCGAGACTGGGTACTCGGGTCGACGGATCGGCCCGTCTTACAACGACGTGCAATGTTCCGTCGGGCAGTCCCCGACGGCTAACTACAGCGAGCCTTTCGCTCGCTCCCGGCCGCGCCGGCCGCGCTGGTCGGCAGGGGATCCCGCTCCGGACGCACCGTCCTCGCGAACCCGCCACCGACAGCGGCGGAAGCGGCCCGGGGTATCGCAAACCCGCACCCACTCGTTCACACTCTTTCTAGCGCCGGGACTCTTCGGCGACGCACCTTCACGCTACGCATGCACGCGACACTCCCGCGGCATGCGTACCCCGCGTGGTCTCGCACAACGCAACCCTCGCGCCGCGAATCTCCAGAGCGACTCTACTCCACGCGACTGCGACCCTCGGCTCGGACACGCTCACATACACACACACTCTCACGCGAGGCCTGTGCCCCGCAGGCTCCGGGGTAACCGCGGTTGCTTGTCGCCGCGACCGGGACACCAAAAGAAACTCTAAAGCCGACGGGTCGTAGCCCGGGCGACACCAAACGCGAGATTTTCCCGGCGGCGACAGAACAACCCGGGCCCGGACGCACCCGCTCGGGGCGAAACGGACGGAGGAGGATCTCACCGGCGCCTCGGCTCTCCCGGGATCGGCAGGCGGCAACGGCTCGTCCTGGGCTTCCGCGGGAACTCGCACTCGTGGGCGGGAAAACGGCGGCAGCGGTAGACCGGGGTCCTCGCTCTTACACGACTCGCAACAGGCTGCTCCGAATTTTCCGCGATCGCGGATCGATAATTCGGCCCCCCCCCCCCGCGCGGCTGCTCGCGCGAGGCGCGTGCCCCGCGGCCAATCGCGCGACGGCACGCGACAACGCCGGCAGCGATATTCTCGCGATCGGGCGCAGGTGCCCGCGGTATCGCCAAAATTTCCTCGCGTGCCCTCGATAGGGCTGTCGCAGCGGCTCCCCCGCTGACGCCCCTCAGGTATCGTGCTACGGGCACTGGGCTCCTTCCTCCCGGCTTGCTGCTCCGCGCGCTCCGTTCCCGCTCCGCACGCCTCTCCACCGTGCTCGCCGCGGAATTTGTCCGTTAGCCGGGCCTCTCGTCTTTCCTCCGCCCTCGCGTCCATCCGTCCTCACACGCTCGCGTTCATCATACAAAAAAAAACAGAATAATCAGCAATCACGTCGAATTTACCGAGTAACGGTCGCCTCTCTGGAGACTGCGGCACGGTTTTCCCTAATCTCGGCCTGTTGCCTTGAGGGAGGAACCCGGTGGACGCGCTCGCGGGACGGCAACGTCACAGATGATATCATTACTTTTGTAGAGAAGATAGTTTTGTAGTGTGGATATTTTTGTAGAGATGCAAAAAAGATAGAGTAACAAATATATTCGGTCGTTGGAGCTTATACTTGGCGCTATTTTTTACCTTTTTTTAAAAAGGTAAGTTTTTTAGGTGATATCAATCCTTTTGTAGTGTTAAAAATCTCGTACTGTTTATTTATCACAATATAATTGTGCACAATTATTATTATTATATAGATATATAGAATGTCTTAAGCTTAAAAATTGCTATTGTAATGACGCATATACCATTAGCATCAAATGAAAAATCTCGTTGAGCTATTATTACAAATGTCACGATGCTAAAGCGTACCTCCTTCCTATGTAGGTAAAAATTTTCTGAGGTTTGTGACTTTTTTTATTTTATTACGAGAGAGAACCTCGAAATGACCGATTGTGTGATATTAAACGCTAGGGAATAATCGACGAATTGGTACGGAGCCTTCTTGTGTTCCATGATGCGCGGTCGCGTGTTGCAGGAGACGTAAAGGCTTTTTTCTATTTATATCTCGTTACTCGTTACTGTCTCACTAGGTCCCTGTGTTATAGATTAGGTAAACTATAACTTATTCAAGCGAATAGATTTTTTGGTAAATTACTAACTTTATTTCAATGATACCATGCTGTTCTCTGATTTAGTCCGATTAGTGGAACATTGTTGGTTCGTACACAAAACCCATATAATTTGTATATTATACAAATGTGTTCACGAATTGACAGTTCTAGGAGCAAATTCCAAAAGTGCAGAATCACTCCAGCATCCCCTCACTGACTCGGATGTCAACAACGGCTGATCAGACGAAGTTGAGACTACGCTAAATCGATAGCTTGGGTACGATTTGCATAATAAAAGTGTTTTTACTTTTCTTCTACGTGCCCCATGAGTAAAGATATTGCAATGCAAAGTCCACGGGTCTGAATTTTCGCGTAATTTTTAACTACATGGTCGGTCTGGCGCGCGTGGTTTAGCTTGTCACTTTAAAACTTTTTTGCTTATATTTGGCGCGAGATACTACCGTGTCTCGTAATGTATAAAATATGGCGTTTTTTACATTTTTAATGTCTTTTTTATGCGGATTTAACGAGTTTTTGTTAAGTATTATTGTTACAATAATAATCATATTAAATTGGTACTTAATTGCTAGTAAGCGAGAGAGAGAAAGAGAGAGA